AAGTTTTACTGTGTCTGTAATTGTATTTTTTCTATCAACCTCACATTTGTAAAAAATAAGGATGTTAAACGGCCCTTTAAAAAATTTTGAAGTTTTAAAATTACTAATTCTAGAAGGGCTCATCAGGAGATCTTTTTTTACATAAAATTTATGATATTTTTACGCAGTTTTACCACGGCGACTGGTGTTTTATTTGATAATTTTAGTTTTGCGTAAAACCCATTTCTTACATTTCACCTTTCCAGTCTGATAAGTAGCTTTTTTTTAAATATATATCAATAAAAAAGAAATAAATAATAAATGCTGTAGGAACCTTCATCAGATGATCGAGGAAAATGTTGTTGATGATTGAATGTTTGTGATGATGGATTATGCGAATAACGATTCCTGCTTCAGCGCCTTAAGGAGCGCATAGCGGTATATCTCATAATATCAAATGGGTAACTAAATATTTTTATGTTACAAAATTTTGGATAAGAAAAAAATTTAAGAACCAGAGAAATCGTTACTTGAAGAAAATATATTATGGTGCTCGTTGGTCCGTTCAACGGCCATTTTTTATTTTTTTTATTTTTTTTTTTTTATGGGGATAACCATATGTGTGAAATAATACATACAACATATATCATTCACGTGACTATAGACACAACAAGACAGCAATGATTGATCATTCAATTTACACTGATTTAATGACACGAATAATATTTGTATAAAGTATTAGTAACATTTTGAAATTGAATTATCATCGGATTAGATTAATTCAGACGCAAAGAAAAAGAGAACAAGTAGCAAAGGGAATTAATCATCCAAATAACAATTTTAGTATGCCAACCCGTCGAATTTTTCATATGCTGATGCTCTTGGAGGCATCCTCGTAAACATGCGCTAATTCATGAAAGAGTGTTGACTTTTCAGAGTTGCGATAACCTATTTGACGATAACAATATGCTTCATGCCTAATGAATGCAGAAGTAGATGCAATAAGAAGCCAACATGAAATGCAAAAAAGGTTGATCTTCGGGTTGACTCAAGAAGAGGTATATTTAAAGATGCTTCTATTATTACGGAAATTTTGCTTTCAAAAGATTCTTCTTGCTGGTTTATAAGGCACATTCTATTTAACATGTGCAAATTCTCGGATTATTATCCGGATGGATAACATTATAAAGTAATTATTTCAATAATCGATCCAAAGTTAATTATTTAATCAAACAGCTGCATCATTTTGGGATCACAGACAATCTAAAATAAAGGCAATCGGATTTTAAGGGTATGAATTAATAAAAATTTTTTTGACATTAACCTTTATAGAAATTTTGCAGGACCGGTTATATTTTTCTAATTTAATAATTTTAATAATTTCTTTGAGTCATATCTTCAAATCTTCAAATCTGTTATCTTTGTTAGAGGGATACTTAATTCTCTTACAAAATATCATATTACTAAATTTATAGGTTTGGCGTCTACACACGATAACAGGAAATTCAAGAAATGCGTTATATATGGTCTGGTCTGATCATAGTAAAATTTAACGTGAGAAAAACAATCATGAAAATATCTCCAATTTAATCCTGATTGGTCTGTTAATAATCCCAAAAACACATTAGACTGAAATTATGACCAATCGAACCCAATTATAATTCAATCCTTATTTTGGGATTGATATGACTGATCATCTCGTCTCTAAACTCCGGTTTGTCGCCGAAACGTCCACTAAATTAATTTTTTTTTCTCTGACAATATCAAGATGTCGATCCTCAATAATGTTTCAGGTTTGATTTTTTGTTTCAGATATAAAGGATAATCTCTAACATAAAAAGAAAGTTCGATCATTACTGAAACTGCATGATGCATCGGTTTCTTCTCTTCGGTTCATTATTTATATGATAAAAAGCTTTTTCAATAGATTGATCATTTGTTTTAGGAAAATTTACTAAGCTCAAATAAAAAAACACCTTTCCCCTTTAAATTTTTTTTTTTTTTTCTTTTTTCACATTTGAAATTTTATTTGACATAAAAATTCAAAAAAAAAAAAAAAAAAAAAATATTAAATAATAAAAATCTTTGATACGTATTATTTAAATGCTCAGGATTATTATTCGTTTTTGTTTTTTATGATGTCATTATACCTTTGTTTGATGTTATGCTTGGTAATAGTGTCGGTTAGATCATTTACACCGGAGGCAAGATATGCGCATTCAAGTTCATTAGTCGGAAATAAATTATATTTCTTTGGAGGTTTAGGGGATGGATCCTATATATCGACACAAACATTTTACTTGGATTTATCAAAATCATTTAGCCTAAGTAACTTACCGTGGGTGGATGTCACTTCAATGCCGGTCGGGGTATCATTCACACAATCATTCGTAGGTGGCATGTCAAATGATAACGTGTTTCTCTTTGGAGGGTTTAGAACGAATCCATTGGATAATTCATTAAATCTCGATGATAAACTTTATTCATTCAACACGGAAACAAAAGCATGGTTTGAACCGATCGTTAAAGGGGTGAGACCGATACAGAGAAGGCAGTCCCAAGTTTCTGTTGACGTGAATGGTAAAGCCTATTCATTTGGTGGGGTGATTGATGAAAAGACGGGAAGTTTTGGGACAACCTTGTTGCAAGATATGAATTCATTTGACACGTTCAATTCGGAATGGTCATTGAACATCTCTTTAACCGATCCGGCCTTACCATTCCCACGTAGTGATTACACGTCAACAATTTTAAGTAATGGTTTAATAGTTTTAATCGGAGGTTGGGAGCAATCCACTTCGGATACAGGTTTATTCGTTTACGTTAGCATGAAAGTTTTGAATTTGTTTGATACTAATACCGCCACTTGGTCGTCTACGGAAGCTCAAGGGGATGTAATTGATGAAAGGAGAGCTCATCAAGCGGTATTGACGCGAGATGAAAAAATCATAATCTATGGGGGTGTGAAGGATTACTGGACCCCATCCACGCCCGAATTGGCCGTGTTAGAAACAAGGGATGGACAATTTCGTTGGTCCGTACCACAAATCACGGCGAGGAATCGTCCACCACCCCTTGTATATTTTACATCAAGTATTTTTGAGGATTACATGTTTGTATCATTTGGTAACATAAGCAATCCGGTGACAAGCCCGTTGAACACCTCGTCGAAAATATATTTGATGGATACGAGGAATTTCACGTGGGTGGATACGTTTGAGGTAAAGGCGTCGGATGTGGATCCAACGACGCTCACCAAAACTCAAACGTCAATCATAATTGGATTGTCGACTGGGGGTATAGTTTTGATCATACTCGTCTCGACTGTCACTTGTTACCTTCGACAGAAAAGGAGGAAGGGATTTATAACGAGCAAGGGTATAGATAGTCGCATCGTTACTCCCAGTACTGAACGTTTCACGGTCCAAACTGCAAGACAGATTTCAATTAATTTGCCTAATTCACCAAGTACACCACGATCACTAACTCGATCACCTCATTCACCTAGTACACCTACTTCGCCTTACAGTTCATCGGTTCAGTATACAGCCACCAATTCCGGTCACTTTAGTCAAGCTAGTTCATCCATCGGTGGAAATAGATGGGAAAACGGTTATTACCCACAAGCTCATTTTGGAGGTGGTCAGCAGTATTATCAACCTTATGCTGAAAGTTATCCGAATTATACCCCACCATCTCCATTATTACCCCCAAACCAACCACAACAATATTTAAATTCACCTATTCAACCGCAGATTGTACAGAATGTTGTATTACCCGGTGTAATACCACAATATGGTTACATACCTCAACAAGTTGTTTATCAATATCAAGACCCTCCATTTCCTTATCAAGAGTATGATAATCAAACATCACGTCCCGAAACTCCATCTCCGTTTCAATACCAAGGAAATGATTACCCCCCTCCTCTTCATCTGAATCATAACCCTTCAAGATCATCCTCTACCCCCCGATCCATACCCGCCTCAAATAAAAATGTTACCCCTCCAAATACTCGTGTCATAACTCCTACGATTACGATTAATAGGCCCACTAGTTTAATTGAGAAAATTAAAAAATTAGGTAGTGATGACGGCAGTGGCGCTAGCAAACGAAGCAGTTTCATGGAGAGAATAAGACGAATAGGCAATGATGATAGCGGCAGTACCAGTACCAGCAAAAGAGATACGAGTAATACTTTTTATACCGAAAGTAGTGAAGCTAGTAAAAGAAGCAGTATGATGGAGAGATTAAGAAGTATTGAAGATGAAGATAGTAACGGTAGCACCAGCAAAAGATATACAAGTAATACTGTTAATTCGGTTACCACAAACGCTACCAGTAATAGTAATAATGTTAATGATTTTATTGGATTATATACGAATAATGAGGATGACGATAATGATGGTGATGACGATAATGATAATGATAATGAGACGATTAAGGAAGAAGGGAGTGACAACAAATTTTAGGATGATGGAAAATTCGGTAATTAATATAATTAATGGGATGTGACATGTAAATAAATGTTTTTTTTGTATTTATAGAAAAAAAATTTAAAATATAAATTATATAAATTACATTAGTTAAAATGTAGTAAAAATAATTTAATAAATTCTTTACGATACGCGTTAAGTTTCCTTTTTGATAGACGAATCTCATACTTTTTTTGTACATATTAAATTTAATCAGCAGCTGATGCAATACTTAAATTAGACAATAAAAAAATGGGTTGTAAACATTTTTATCGGTCCAAAATTTATTAAAACAAATTGTTTTAAAATACACAACCAAATTTTCTTCTTTTTATCGAGTCCAAAAAAAAAAAAAAAAAAAAATTTTTTTTTTTAAAAAAAAAGAATCAATTAAAATCATTGTGGGTTTATTTTAATTCAAAAACGAAAGAAGAAACCCGATAGAGTAATCATTTTTATTATATTAGTAATTCTTTATTCTTGGACCAATAATTGATACCTTTGCTATAGGACGTGGGCGAAGTCGAAGCAAAGGTAGTTTAATCACTACTATTACCAATTTCTGTAGTTTGTGTAGCGTCTAGAATTTTCTAATCCGTAGTTTTCATAAATTTTGTTCGAGAATATTTTAAAATTGCGGGTCAATGGATTTTCATTGGCCCATTGTATTCATGTGATTTCGTTACGTCAACCTAACCTAGTTTAATACGTCGATCTTGAGATTTTTATTCAATTAACCAATCTTGTTTCGTAAAAAAAAAAGTAAAAGAAAAAGAAAAGCAACCCCAAGCTTTAAAACGCAACAAAAAAAAAATTTCGGCAACAAAGGATTCATCATTATGCCTTTCATTACTTGCTTTGTTCCTGGTGACTCAGAAACCTTCAAAATCAATATCAGAAAGGACAAAGACATTGTTGAACTCAAGAATGTCATCAAAGAGAAAAAACAGCTATTGTTCAGCACTATCGATGTAAATAAACTTATCCTCTGGAAGGTCAACATCCCAACTGGTGATGATCGAAGCATTCATAAACTTTCCGCCGACGCAACCATCAATATTGAGGATATCGGAGGCGAGTTGTTGCCTCCGTTGGGAGAAATTCAAACGCTATTCCCCAAGCAGCTTGCCAAGGATCATATTCATGTCCTCGTATTGTCAGATGACATAAATGAGCTTTCAAAGAGATGCGATTTAGGTGAGTATGATATGCAAACAAACGAAAGGTTAAAATTCGTTCACATATAACAACCTCTCTTGTCTTTATACTCCCTCCCTTTCGTTTAGATCCCGCCTTCATCCCATATTATTTGAGAACAAATGCAAGGATACTCCTTGAAATTATTGACAACAAGATGCAAGTTAATGAACAAGCCTGGTTAATTCAATGGAATCGTCCATTTCCGCGTGATGGACCGAATCAGACAATGGTACCTTATTTTTTTTTTTTTACATCTTACCTATTCGTACGAAATTTAAGCTAATAAGATGTGTGGATCATTTCAAGGAATACCTCATCTCTCATATCACAGATCCACAGTGGAATGGGGTAAACGTAAATGGTTGGAGTACAGTATTCACTTTTCGTAATGGGAGACAACTTTCTGAATGTGAAAGGGCCTTGCCGGATTGGTAAGTAACAAATTTAACAAATTAAAGATACTAGAAAACATATTATTACGATAAATCTGACACCACTTTTGTAATATAGGACAAGAAGACAAATTGAAAAAACAGATATTGGAATGAGTTTTCGCGTTAGCAAAGTGTCAGATAACGGAAAAATCGTTATAGAGTACCTTGATCATGCTTTTAATAGATAATCAGATAGAATAAGCGGGTCAAATTTTTTTTTTTTTCACTAATTGAAAGTTATCGTTAAAATTTTAATTGATGTCACTGTTGTATTAATTCCTATCAATAAAAAGAATTTTTTCGTTTCAATTCAAATGATTCTTAATTTGATGTTCATTGTCATTACGGTTATCATAAATTAAAGATCGTGATTAAATGTTTGCTACCTTATACTTACAATGGGACCAGAACTTAAAAATAATCTCTTTATACATGATAGAAGAAACCAGACCTATTTCGTCACAAACGTCACAAACGTCTTAACCGTGGTGCAGTCTTAGTTTTTAACTTGACTGGTTCACAATATTATAAGAGGAAATTACAAAAAAATAAAAAATTTTTTTTGAATTCATGCTCAAAAATCATAATATTTTAAGGCGCCCATATATCAATAAGCACTTAAGATTCTTTTGAAATATTATAAGTATATAAATTCTCTCCCTTTCTTAACCAAAAATTTTTTTTTTTTAAAAAAATATAACGGTATTAAAAGAGGTCAGTTGATGGATATTTGTAGTTAAACAACCTTGTTCATAATACCTAATACTGAGTCCAGCATAAAATGAGAACCAATTTAAAAATCTTTCAAGTCTATAAGGATCGACATATTGCTTTGCTAATTTTCGAGGCGTTATTACTAGAGATGGTAAATAAAGTCTTAAGCATCTTTAATAATTGCGTTGATATATCATTTCCTTAAAAACAATTGTCGCTTCAGTTAAATGATTTTTGCAAAATGTGAAAATACTGAACTAGTTACCTTTAATTGTTCTGAAGTAGGTATTTCCAAGTACACTAATCATTTCTTCTTATAGCGACTTAAAATTTATTTGTAAAAAGATTCAAGAATATAAATAATGTGCTGCTTTTATTTATAATAATCATTACTATTTACATTTAAAACCATTTAAGAATAAAATAAATAAATAAAAGTATACTACTGTCATGGCCTTCGACGAATATAACCATTTTATCCCTTAATTGCTTAAATCAGTATCAATTCCCTCTTGACTGCAAATCTCCATCCATTATTAAAAAATTTCATTATTGGAACTTTTCCTTTTTCAATTTCAAAATTACTTTATTATGTTCAATCGGTAATTTGCATATCCATGGAAATAAGATATGATAAATCGATTCTGAAGTTGTAATTATAAATTTGTAAACATTTATAATATGCGCTAAAAAAGAAAACCCTAATATACCACCATGTAAGATGATATTAAGTCAATAGTTGTGCCAAAATGATATCCAAAAGCAACTCTTCACAGCACTATTTGATTAGAAATTCCAATCACTATAAATTTATTGAGCATTGTTTACTTTATACATACCAAGATGTTTGCCATACGTAAAAGCATCTAGCTCAATGCGCGCCAACTTTCTGGAAAGCGACGCCATACTCCGCTCAACTGGATGACATGCAGATTGCCCTAGAGCGTGCGTTCAAATTGTGAGATAGTTCAAGTCAAATTTTTAAAAGTAATAAGTATTTTGAGATTTTTGCGATGAACTGGTACCATCTCCAAAAAATTCTTATAAGGCTCCTTCGGGAGGAATAGTAATTTTTGGTGAAACATCCTCTATAAAATAATTTATTATTAAATGAAGATTGTTTATGCGTGCTTTTATGTTAAACGCTTACCTAGTTGTGTTAAGAATTTTTCAATTAGGGAAAGAGATAAACAATTTTGACATCATATTTTCAATTTCGTCATGCCTTTGTATAATAATGGTATAATGTATGCCACATATAAATAAATGGAATACTGTTCTTTTGGTGTATCTTTTGGTGTTTTATTACCATTATGATAGTTAAAGAGGAATTTAAAGAATATGAAAATTATCCATTGAAATATATATCTCTTATATACCATCTAAATAGTTATAATTGTTCTGAATAAATTATTTTTTAACCACATCAATCCTGACGTAGTATTAGAATATCGTGATATAAATTTTTTTTTAAAATTTTCTTACTTTACTTTACATGGCGCAGTACGGCAGTTTTTAGTCAATATTCAAAATAAGTTATCTATCTAGACCAATAAATTTTTGAAATAACTCGCTATTTTGAATCGTTATACAAACCTTTTAATAAATCAAATAAAAAAATGTATTTATCTTACTTTTTAAAAGTTTACAATTGCATATTTAAGGGGATGATGTGCCTTTTTTTTGAATGATCGTGGGGCAATTTAAACTTTTGGTTCATTTTTTGAAGGGTTGTTCTTTTTATTGCCTCTCTTTAATTTCTAATTTTGTAGGTTTGAAAACAGAACATTCGAATCTTCGTTTGAAATAAATTCGAATCTAAGTTTTTGATCATTTTATTACTATTCTTTCAAAAAAAATATATTAAGTTCATTTTGTTTTTAAAATCCTCTTTCTACTTACGAAAGAACTTAAAAAAAAAATATGCTAAAAATGGAAAATTTTTCGGGCGAAGGGAGGAATGAACTTATCCTTGTATCTAATAAAGATTCCGATTCTCTAAATAAATAAATTAGAGTAGTAAACCTCGCTTTCCGCCAGCCAAATATAATTCAATGGAATAATTGCTGATGTTTCAATCAAGAAAGTAACCCGATTTCTTTATACACGTCATCAAATAATTATAATTATCGTATTATAGCTTATTTTTTTATGTTCTATAAAAGCTTATTATTGAATGGTCAAAAGAATTTGTAAATTATTTTCATAAATAGTTCAGATATAATTATTAAATGGTATAGATATGCAGTAGTATCTAGTGGTGGTACGATCTGGATAATTTCTAATTAGTATCATCAATCAGTCTTTAATAATATTTCAATTAACATGATAGTAATGAAATCGAAAATTATATTACATATGAAGGAATATGCTTTGAAAAGGTAAGTTTTTTTATTTTTAACATTTTAATTTTATTTTATTATAATTAAATTTGCCAATTAAATTTTAAATAGATATTAATGTTATATTCAGTTAAAATTTCTTCATTTAATGAGGTATTTCTTTAGCACTTATAAGGTGGTATAATTATAAATATGAAGGATAATTAATCAAGTATGATTATCCATGGATTGAACTAACTTCTCAATATGAATTAATACCTGTGAATTCAATTGTTGAATCAGTTCATATAATATTATGATTTAACAAAAATAATGAATATTTTATAAATACTTTTGTTATTTAATTTTTATATTAATTAATTACAATATATATTAAATTAAAGTAATAAACATTAAATATAATATATATTGTCAATAATTTAACAATATAAATTATTAAACAATATATATTATAAATCAAGAATATTTATTATTAATAAATATTAAAAAGGGTAATAAATATTATAATGTATAAATCTTAAAATAAAATTATATTATGTTAGTTTAAGAATTAATACTTTGACATTAATTATTATGAAATAAAGAAAGATAATTGTTATTTTACGAGATTTTTTGATAAATAATGCTACTGTTTAAAGCATTTATAAAAATTATAAATTTTCTAGTTAAAACATATAATACTTTCTAAACTATTCTCATTTATAATAATTTATTTCTAAATAAATAAACTTATATAAATTTTGCTTTTAATACTAAATATGATATAAAACTTATAAAGTTATTGATAATCTTCTTTAATTTTAAAAAATATTTTGATAAAAAATACTATTTCTACTGACTTTATCAATAATCTTAACCTTACTTTTAACAACTAATTCACTTTCTAATTTTTCACTAATTTCAAACTATTTCTTTCCTCTCATAATATTTATTTTTTTACTAACTTATTTAAATAATATCACTTTCTTTACCTTTATTTATCTTATAATTTAAGTTATTAGATTATAAGAAACTAATTTCAATTCTTATAACTCAAAAATTTTTATTTTTTCTAAAAATCTAGCTTGTCATATCTTTTGATATGCTAATATACAGTTTATTACCAATCAAAAATTTTGTATATCAATTATTACTTACTACTAGTTAACCTCAAAATTAAAATAGAAATTCAATAAATTTATTTAATTAGATATAAAATTCTTCATCAAATGACTTTCATATATAGATATGAACTGTAAATACAATCCTAAAAATGCTTTAAAATTCTTTGATACTTTGCATTACCTTTCAATCTTTAATGTTTTTATCATGAAATATAGTAGTATTATTAATATTAGCTGATATAATATAAAAGTCAAGTTATCATATATAGAATCTCAGATTATATTATTTAATATATAATATAATTTGTTTTTTTGTTATATTATTAATTATATCACACATATTAGTAAAATTACATATATAATTATGTAATGAACTTGTTCATCTAATAGGTTAAATAAATATTTTTTATTATGAGTTTATATAAATATCTAAAAGTCTAGAGTAGTAATAAGCTATAATTAATCATATAAGATCTTATTCCTTAAATTATCTAATAAGCAAACTGCCTGTGAACTTAAAAAAATATGTTATTTTTTTAATAAAATATTAAATATTAATTTTAATAATATAATAATTATATGAAAAATATAGTTTAATATATA